AGTCTGGCACCACGGTGGGAGGTGCCTCGGGTTCCTCACGGAGAGGCGGCTGTGGATCCGGCCCCCAGCATAAACAAAACACACATACTTCAAGCCTGCCACGATTTCGGTATCTTGGTCTTTATTTCTTGCCGTTTCAAAGTGGAATGCAATTTTTTTTCCTCTTGCGCTTTATAAATACAGTTTGGCAGCTACGCCCCATGGCATGGGTTCCCCAGCCAAAAAGTTTAACGTACGGTGAAACAGAGCTGGACAGGGAACTTCTCACGCACGGAAAAGAAGGGCTCTCGGTGACACAAGGAGAGCTAGAATACAACCCTTGGCTACAGAAACACATTACAAGGATACTGGTTTTTTCCCCTTGCCCAACAATTGTGTTTAAAAACCTTCTTGTGGGGGGAAAAAAATAACTGGTCCCTGATTTGAGCTGAAGCCCCCCCACCCCTCTTTCAAGACACTCCTTGCGCAAAAAGCACTTCTCCATTCCTCCATACCAACTTGGGCTTCAAACCTCTTCCCAAACAGACGGGCAATCTTCTAACTACAGAACACAAGCCTATACAGGGAAAAAAGGGCTTGGGGGGGGAGAGAGAACATGGACTTTAGCACCCAACAGCCTACGCAGGCTGGCTTTGCGCATTACATGGATGGCGGGGGGGGGACACACACAAGCCATGGTCCTTTGCACTGCTTTGAACAAGCCATGGGAAAGGCGTGACCTAGAACTGTTATTGTGAGACTGGACGTACTGGGGAAAGGAAGCAGGCTCCAAGAGTGAGAATGCCGCCAAGGCGGAGCAAAAAGGACTGCACGGTCGCAAACACGGGATCACGCGCAGACAGCTCTCGATCCAACTGGTGTAGACGCAGAGTCGCAGTTAGGGTTTGTGCTTACGTCTGGAGAAAAGGGCTACTGTTGTGCTGCAGAGGGAGGGAGAACTTGGGGGTGGGGGGGGGGGGGGAAGGAGGCTGCCCCCTGACCTTATAAAGCTATTGAACCACAAATATGGAGAAGCCGTGGCACCGGGTTTGGAGGAGAAAGGAATACTTAAAGGGGTGGCGGGGTCGGTACAAAAGAACAAACGGATTCAGGTGAGAGACGGACCCTGGAGGCCTCTAGATCCAAGAGAAAAACAATTTTACCAGGCCGCCTTGGCATCCCCCCCAAAAGCCAAGCCAGCTGATTAGCTTACAGACCAGAGAATCTAACAGTCATGAGGGTTTTGGAGTTGATTGCAGAAGGGGGTTGAAACAGGCTGGAAGTGGGATGTTTCAGGTACTGTAGGCAACAAGAGCTCCCCACCCCGGAAAATTTGCCCCAAAGGTTAGCCTTGCTGGCTGCTCTCCTTGGAGCAGGACGGGTGGCGGATCTCCAAGACCCGTCTCCAGATACCAAGACCCCTCTGGGAAAAGTTGTAGGTTTTACTTAGCGAATGAATCTGGCCCAGGCCTCCCAAATTCTTGGCCAAACACTCCAAACTGGTGGGGCTCTGGACTAAAGTTCCTGCTGCCACAGGCGCTTCTCCGTCAGCAGCGCAGAACTCTCCTGCCTCCCCCCACCCCACAGTGGCCCACTGATCTCCCCCAAATGCTGCTCCAAGGGGACAGGGAATCCTCAGGACAAATCAGGGGTTTTCAGCCTGAAGGCGGAGCTGGAAGAAATGACACCTTCCTGTCCGTTAGCAGGAAATGTCCATCTGCAGCCCTGGACTCCCAGGCGCCACCCTTGTATTACAGTCCTGGGAGGCCAAAATAAGAGGAATAACAAACTCCAAGGGGAGCCACTGTAAGTGGCTGCTGGGTCAGAGGCTGCATAGAGCTATTCCCACGTTCCTGAATCACAACGTGCACAGAAGGGCTAGGGACAGCGGTCTCAGGACCACAAAAGGGTACGCTGCCACATCGGGGTTTACGATCCATGCCTCTGATCCCCACCCATACCTCCGGAAAAGCCCTGCGTCTACAGTTTGAACAGGGAAGGAATCCAAGGAAGGAGGGGGTGGTCACTGTGCCCACAGCAAGCCACAGCTTTAAGGGAATGAAACTGAACAAAAAAATGGGGGGGGGGGTATGATGGGTCAGAGGCATCCGAGGAAATTAGAGGGTGCTCAAAGTATTTGGTCTTCTCCCTGCCCCCCACAACAAAAGCTTCTGGAGGTGGACTTCTAAGGCAGTGATGGGTCAAGGGAGTTTCCCTCCATGACCAGAGGTGCAAGGTGCGATCCACAAAAAGGCACAAAATAGGAGGGTGTTAAGGAATGCGTGGTTCACTTTTCGTTTTCTTTTGGTCCCGGGCGCTCCATGGCCTCCTGCGCTGTTGTCTTCACTGGGCGGAATGTAGCCAAGGGCCCCAGCAACAAGACAGGCAAAGCGCTTGCTGACCAGCGGGGGGGGGGGGGGGGGGGGGAGGCCGCCCGGAGCCCGCTTCTCATCCACAAGCGTCCAGAAGAAAGTGACAAAAAGCAGGTGGTCAAAGGAATGAGATCAGCAACCTGGGTTTTTCCCCCCCCTCTCCCACCCCTTCCCCGAGGAAGGCACTAATTGGTACAGAAAGAACCTTAAAGCTGCATTATTTTCCTTTGTTAAAGTGCAGGAAGTAAAATAAACAGGAAAGGGTTCTTTTTTTAAAAAAATCAAAATAGGGGAAATATCCGGAGCCTGGGCGGGCTCGGAGGTACTCTGGAGAAAGCCCGGAAAGCCGTGCCTGGATTTGCAGGCTGGACCAAGGCCATCGCCTTCAGCCCAGCGACGTTTGGACCTCTCGCGCCAAGACCTTACTGGGATTTCCTGTCGTTGGCACCTGTCCCGGACGATGTACTGACTTCCGCTACCTGAGTGGAATTATTCGCCTGGGACGTCACCTGGAAGGGAGAGGACGGGGGGGTAAGACAGGCATGATAAGCTGACTGAAACAACAAGGAAAACAATTAAGCAGGAAAAAAATATCTATATGCTATTAGCCGTGTGGGGCTGTCATCTGCGGATAGCTAAATCCATGGATCAGGGCCACGCAGAGGCTAAAGAGATTTTTTTGCGAACTTGGGGGGGGGGGCTAGTTTATGACGGCAACCGGCCTACAAGGGGACTCGCACACAGGCCACCGCGGTCAGCTTCAGGGCGGAATAGGGATCTGAAGCCAAGTCTTCTTGAGCAAAGTCTGCTCTATCTGCTACACTCCACCAGGCGTAGCTCATGCCCTGGAGAATGCTGGCAGTCACTCAAATGCAGCTGACAGCATCCGCCGGCGTTACCTCCAAAAGGCATGGATCTGTTTTTTGGATGCCCACAATGTATCTGCGTTTGTCAACCAATAATGGTCTGGTCTCAATTGCTCTTTGCCAGCGCATACTTGGAACTGATCGATTCACCTCCCGACTGTACGAAAACTGGCAGGGCACGTCTCCAATGAGCTAGAAGACCCTTGAAATTTGCTGCCCATAGCCCAAGACATCAATTGCTAGAACTGCCCATAAATGGAACTCTGACAGACCAATGTTTGGTCGTAAAGTGGCCTTTTAAGACACTGTTCTCCGCTACTAGCCCCTGCTAATCACAAACTTTCTGCAAAGATACTATCAAGGGAGACGTTTCTTGCTATCTGTCCTTCTCCTGCCAGCCTGCAATTGGCTTGTTACAGCCAGTCCCAAGAAGATGGGCTTTTTAAATGTCTGGTTGAAGGTATAAGGAAGCTGTAGCTGTCTAACGAGCGTAGGGTACGCTTTCAAGTCCACTCTTTTGTAAAAGAGATTAATAGCGGGGGGGGGGGTCGTCTACTAGTAATTGGGGGACTTGGATTAGAGGATGCCCAAATTTCAGGTTTCGAAGTCAAGTGGAAGTACCCAAGACACTGTGATAACCAGTGTTCCCTCTAAGCTGAGTGAGTGTGAGCTAGCTCACGGTTTTTTAGCCTCCAGCTCACACATTTTTGTTGTAGCTCAGGAAGGATGGGCACCAGAGCAAACCAATTTATGCAGTAGCCAAATCGCTCGCTCACAGCTTTAATGCCAGTAGCTCGCAAAGTAGAATTTTTGCTCACAAGACTCCACAGCTTAGAGGGAGCATTAGTGATAACCCCATTAAAGTCAGGTGGTCCCAAGAACCGTTTTATACAGGACAAGCAGGGGACCCAAGAGGACGTGAAGGGCAGGGGACACCCCATTCTAACCCCCCTCCCTGTTAGGCACTGCAGCTCACGCTGTGATTAGCAGAGAAGAAAGCATGCCCATCACACTTTTCACTCCAAGCCACCTCTGGCTGGGTTGCAACAGAGGTCTTGTGATATTAAGATTAAGATGCCTTGTGTACATTTTTTTTCTCTCAGTTGTGATACTGCACAGACCATCACTTCTCCATTTGAGGATGGGGAGGTAATTTTTTTTTAATTTTCTTTTTTGGCTTTTTCTGAAAACTTGACGGAAAACTCCAGGTTTGTCGAAACATCCCCCCTTCCAGGACCTGGCCCCACCGTGTACATTTTTAAATCCGCACTCTGGGGCCAAATTCCACATCGTGTTAGATTAGTGAGGGGGTAGCGAAGGGGAGAGAGAGAGAGAGAGAGAGAGAGAGAGAGAGAGAGAGAGAGAAGGGTGCAGTGGTTAGTGTTGGACTAGGCTCTAGGAGACACAGCTTCAGAGCCTCACTTTGCCATGGAAGCTCGCTGGTGACCTTGGCCTGGTCACACACTCTCAGCCTCACCTACTTCAGAGGGTTGTGATGAGGTTAAAATGGAAAGCAGGCTGATATAAGCCACTTTCGGTCCATACTGGGGGAAATGGTGGGGTACAAATGAAGTAAATAAACACAGAAAGACTATAAGCCGCTATACACAAGTGTCTTGCGGACACATTAAAAACAAACTCATGCTTATTCTAGCTTAAACTTCCTTGGACTAGCAGCCATTTCTGCAGCTGCTCTGGAACCCGCATCTGACAGAGGGAGCTCTAGTTCATGAGAATGTATGCTTTATGCAAACGTGCACTGTGAGTCTTTTAGGTGCCACAAGACTCCTGTCTGTTTTTGCCGTAACAATCTTAATGCAGCTCTCCCTCCTGCATACTAGTACATGAATTTGAACACCAGTATGGCTAAATACCAACAATTAAGTCACAGGTCATTGCTGCTTTTACCAGCACTTCCAACCAAAACATGAATCACCGAATCATAGAATCATAGAGTTGGAAGGGACCTCCAAGGTCACCTACTCCAACCTCTGCACAATGCAGGAAATTCACAACTTCCTCCCCCCACACCCCCAGTGACCCCTGTTCCACACCCAGAAGATGGCAAAAAAACCCACCAGGATCTCCAGCCAAACTGGCCTGGAGAATAATTGCTTCCTGACCCCCAAGTGGCAATCAGCATTTCCCTGGGAGTGTCAGAAACAGCCTCGAGAACTAAGCACTGATGCAACCCTTCCTGCCCTCCCTCTCATGATCTGCCTAAGTTCACAAAATCAGCATGAACTGATTTTGCACTCTGTCTTCCAAAGCAAAGTATAGGAGGTTCACGACAGAGATGCCAGAGCCTAGACTGACACCATCTTGTGCCCACAGAGGACCCTGGCCAGTGGTGGCCACATGAGACTACTTTTCTTGTGCCTTTACGATTGAACACAGACAGCCACAAAGACCACCGGCACCCTTCCCCTCCAGTTAAACCATCCCATCACAACACACACACAGTCCCAAGGCACCCACCGTTCCAAGCAGAAACTCGGCAGTGGTGTCGATGACGACGCCCAGTTCGCGGTACTGGCCTGAGTAGCGGATGTAGCCCCAGGCCAGGAGAGTGATGAGCAGCAACCCGACAACCAAGTTGCAGAGCTGCGAGACGATGTCCAGGCCGACGTAGCCTGTGACGCCGGAGCTCAGGTAGAGGGAGACGATGCCGCTGAAGATAATGGCGGGCGTCCGGAAGGTGTTGAAGATATTCTTGCTCTGGTTGTGCTTGGCAAAGTCCTCAAAGAGCTGCTCCATCTCCTGGACCAGCTCCTCCTCGTAGCGCTGGCTGAACTCTTTGCCTCCCATCTTCTTGATGCGCTGGAAGTGCTGCAGGGCCATGGTGCTCTGCACGCGGTGCTTCTCCGCCAGCAGGTCTGGCGAGACATACGGCTTGTCCCCGCCACACAGCTGGAGGAAAAGAACAGAGGGGTTCATTGTGATGCTCAGCTGTAGTCGCACCTTGCTCTTTGAAACGTTTATTACTGTTAAGAGAAAGATAATAGCCCCATGTGCTGGTTAATTTTGACAAATTGTTCGCTCATTAGTGGGGAGATAGTGAATAAAATTGGTAGGCAAAGGCTGGGTTTTTTATCTCCATCTCTCTCAGTGACGGAGGATTCGCCCGCGGCAGAACCAGACTATCAGGAGGAGAAACTGATGTGCGGCCGGCAAGATCGAAAGTTTTACTTTCCTCCTGCCTGAGACTTTCTCTGGAACAAGAACCTGCTTTTCAAGACAAAGTGAGATAGTTCAAGTGGCTGGGTTCTTTTTTCAGTTTTCTGTCCTGGATTCTTGGAAGTAGTGATATTTATTCTTTTGTAAAATAAATTGTCTTTCTTTTGAAGATTGTAGTTATTGAATGGGCATTTGGGATCTAAAGAAAAAGCTCACGGCACCTCTAGTGAGGCCCGGGTCACACGGGCCGGATAATCCGCAGGGGAACGGAAGCTGTTAACTGTGGAGAAAAAAGAAGCGCGGTAGCGCAATCTCACATTCCCCCGCAGCTCCATCCTCTGGCCGTCAGCAGCCGATCAGACCAGCGAGGCAACACAGCAGGAAAACAACAGGACTGCGTCTGTGGGCATGCGCCCGACGCGGAGGCTGCTGGATGCGACGGGCTACCAGTGTGTCTCCGATCAGATGCCCGCCCGTGTCGCACATTTACTGAAAGCTAGTACTTCGAGGCAGGTAGATTTTAACTCCAGGTTTTCCGCGGGAAGCCATGGGTTGGCGGCGGGTACGCTCCACTTGCCAGATGTGCCGGTGTGATCGCGGCCGAATAATCCGCCCACCACCCGTGGCTCTCCCGCAGCTACTTCTGCGTGTGAACGGGGCCTGAGTTTCCCTTTCTCCAGGTCGGGAGGAGGGCTATATCACAGGGTGCATCATATTCACAGAGAAAGGCCAAAGAACGGGTCCCCTCCCCAAGTTTTCTGAGCTTACGGACACCTTTGGAATTCTGACACAGTGCTGGTGAGTGCAGCCACAAAATGGCTGCCACAGGAGGTGGAGGCAGCCACAAAATGGCTGCCACAGCTTCCCTTCAGTCACACATCTTCATGATGCGGGGGGCAGCTGTTGCCAGTGCCACAGCAACGTTCTTAAAAACCTGTCTGGCCAATCAAATTGACCAAAACCCCACCTGGCCTTGTCCACTTTCTATAAACAACTGGCGGGTGGCGGGAAAGGTGTCCTCCTCCTCCTCCTCCCCCTCCCCCTCCTCCTCCAGTTAAAAGGACCAGAGAGCTACTGAGGTCGTTAATATCAAACTGCGGAGAGGGGCTGTGGCTCAGTGGCAGAGCATCTGTTTGGTATGCAGACGGTCCCATGTTAAATTCCCCAGATGTCCAGTCAAGATCAGGTTGTGGGCGTTGTGAAAGACCTCAGACTGACACCCTGGACAGCTGCTGCCAGTCTGAGCAGACGATGCTGACCTTGACAGACCGAGGGCCTGATTCAGCAGAGCGGCTTCATGTGTCCGTGCGAGGAGAGGCCAGCCGAGGCTACCAGCCACAATCGCTAAAGTGAACCTCCGGATTTAGAGGCGAGGCAATCTACCTCTGAATACCAGTTGCTGGAGACAAAGCAACTGGGGATGGTTATCCATGCCACGCAACGAAAGAAGCACCAAGGAAAGAGGACTATCCTGTGACCTATATGGATTTGTAGAGCATCCAAGGTGGAAGGTTTCCCAGAGTTCACCTGTGCAAAGAAGCGTTAGAGGGCGGGGCAGCTTAAGCCAGTAAGAGTTTGGTGGGTGTGGTCACTCTTCCTCAGCAGAGGCAGGTGCAGAGAGGGAATGTGTGGGAGAGGTTTCCAGGGTTTGGGGTGCAGTTTATGTTGTGGAATCAGGGCTGGATTGAGTCTCTCAGTCCTCTGCTAAACCTCTGAAAAACCTCTGGTACACCTATAATACTTTAATATCTATGGTAAGAAGCCTATACAGTTGAAACTTTGGTTCTGTTCTACTCCCAGCAAGCTTCAGGCCGCTGCTCTGTGCTGTCTGTGGCCTTCACTGGACATGATGTGGCTTTTGGCTACTAGGAGTGTTTATAACCTTAACACAGTCAGATCCCACTATCAAATTCTAAATAGATAAGATTACCAGAAACTAGCTGCCTTGATTCTGTGAGTCATCCTGGCTTAACCCAGCTTTCCTTGACTTTCCTGACCCCAGAGATAGAAAGAAAGGGCTGACTTTGCAGTGTATGTCAGATATATGCCAAATGCTTGTCACAGACTTGACTGACGGTTAGATTAGCTTCTATGGGTAAAAAAGAGTACTTAATGTCGGATTTTATACTTGCTCCTTGTTGTTCCGATCAACCACCCAGCAGTTATGGGTCTTGGCAGAATAACCAAAGATACCCTTTATAGAATTATAACCAGTGTTCCCTCTAAGCTGAGTTAGTGTGAGCTAGCTCACAGTTTTCTTAGCCTCCGGCTCACACGTTTTTGTCTTAGCTCAGGAAGGGATGGCTCCAGAGCAAACTAATTTAAGAACATAAGAACAGAAGAGACACCAATGTTGGATCAGTCCAACACTCTGTCACACAGTGGCCAGAAATACCAGGTGCCATCAGGAGGTCCACCAGTGGGGCCAGGACATTAGAAGCCCTCCCACTGTTGCCTCCCCCCCCCCAAGCACCAAGAAGACAGAGCATCACTTGCCCCAGAGCCCCTATCTATACCTTGTGGCTAATAGCTACTGATGGACCTCTGCTCCATATGCCTATCTAATTCCCTTTTGAAGCCGTCCATGCTTGTAGCCGTCCATGCTTGTAATTTATGCAGTCACCAAGTCGCTCGCTCACAATTTTAATGCCAGGAGCTCACAAAGTAGAACTTTTGCTCACAGGACTCCACAGCTTAGAAGGAGCATTGATTATGCACTGTTTATGTATTGGGGTTGTCTTGAAATATTCTGTGTTGAATATTGAAATGCTACAAAAATGCTTTCTGACTTAAGAATGTATAATGTAATAAACTGAGTCTTGATTTAGAACAACTGTCTCTGTCTCTCTCTCTCAATACAACTGGGAAACCAGCCTCTCTCCCTCCCCAAAAGGAATACAGTGGGAATAAAGGTGCATGCAAAGGGCCCTGCACCCCTCATTTCCCCATCAGTTTAAATTACAAAAGGGGGGGGGGATATAGAGAAGGGAAACAGGATTCCACATGAGCGCTGGAGAATTAAAATTCAGCTACAGCAGATGACCCTGATCTGGATGGCCCAGGCTATCCTGATCTCGGCAGCTAAGCAGGGTCAACCCAGGTTAGTATTTGGATGGGTGACCTCCAAGGAATGCCAGGGTCGCTATGCAGAGGCAGGCAATGCCAAACTACCTCTGAACATCTCTTGCCTTGAAAAACATAAGCTGCGACTGTCAGCTAGGCCTCTGGCTAGTCTAGCTGCTATGGGTGTGAGGGAGGGACTCTGGAATTTTAACTTTTGTTTTTGCTGTGTTTCCCATCTTTCTTTATCTATGTAACCGAAGCCTTTGACCTTGAGTGTCTGGTGTACTTTTCTCCTGAGAATTATTGCCCGTTACTTTGGCAGGTTTCTACCTGGCCTCTGATTGGACGTGAGCCATCAGGGGACACGCTTGAATAATGTATATCAGCTTGCTTCCCGCGCTTTAAGGCAGTTCTAACACAAAAGCGTTTAGATCTCTCCATACTCTCAGTGTCTCAATAAACTTTACTTCTTTGAATGAAAGCTGTTGGGAACTGATTGCTGCAGGAGTCTGACAGCGATTTGATAGCACTCCACGCACACACAGCAGATGCTAATGAGGGGGACTAGGCAGCAACTGCAAGCACGATCCATGTAATAGACTAAAGTCGTACCTAGGCTAGTCTAAAATAATAGCTTGTAAAACTAGGGGGGGATCTCGGATGTTTTGAAGAAACTTAACAGGATGTATTTGGATGGAGAAGGAAAAACGAAGACATTGGAAGAAGGGTGAAAATGGTGTAGAAACTGCTGGGACTGCAAACAACAGGGGAGCCGAAATAATGCCTGGGTCAGTTCCAGCCTCCAGAGAGGGCATCACCGGGTTCACCAACCACATGCCCAGTTCCCTCTTTTCTTTCTCTTGGATAGAAATTCATAGAGGACAACAGGGTGGGGGAAAGACCGCGGCCTTTTATGGGGAGGGGCTTCCTAGCCCAGCCATTCAGAGAACAGAATGGAGGCGGAGCAGAGTGCAGTGGCTAGTTTCAGACCCAGGCTGGGGAGACCCAGACTCAAATCCTCACTCTTTCACATCTTGACCTACCTCACAGGGTTGTTGTAAGGATAAAATGGAGGTGGGGTTGAACCATATTCACCACCCTGAGTTCCTTGAAGGAAGGGCAATATTATTTTAAAGAAAGTATTGATAAAATGGGAGGGGAGCTGTAACTCATCACCCCCACTCTGCCTTTGACACACACACACCATTAACAGTTTACCATGAACCTGTTGCTTACTTCTTTTTTTGGAATATAATCCAAGACTAGTAGAACTTGAGGGAGGGGAGGGTTGAGGGAAAATGAGAGCTAGCTTGGTGTAGTGGTTAAGAGCAACAGATTCTAATCCGGAGAGCCAGGTTTGAGTCCCCACTCTTCCACATGAAGCCTGCTGGGTGACCTTGGGTCAGTCACCGTTCTCTCAGAGCTCTCACCTACCTCACAGGGTGTCTGTTGTAGGGAGAGGAAGGGAAGGCGACTGTAAGCCACTCTGAGACTCCTTTGGATAGTGAAGGGTGGCGCATAAAACCAACTTCTTCTCTTATCTTATCTTAGCATCCTCTCTCAAGACTAGCACCTTGAATTGAGTCCAGAATGCTACTACAGGCAATCCAGCTCACGTGATATGGACAGCGGTTGTGAAAGGAGAGATACTGCATCCCCACAGATGCACGCATGCACGTGCGCGCGCACACACACACAAACAAAAGGCAAGCCCTGCTCGGCTGCTGTCCTCTCACCTTTTCCATGTTGGTGTAATACATGTCCTTGGCCGAAGCGACGGCAGTCAAGTTATTGGCTTCGGCGGTGGCCTGGGAGGGCAGAAAAACAAAAGAAGTCTATGTTTGCCAACAGTTCCACCCTCTATCCCCACACACATCTCTGGGGGTCCTCTGCCCAACTCTGCAGCTTTTTGTACCCTACTCCAAGCTGGTATAGGTCTCCGCACACTTTGGACCATACCTTGGCAACCGTGAGGCTTAGAAACTTGGGTTTTTTAAAAAAATGAAAGCTATTTTTAGGCAGCTGAAATCCACTCCCCCCGCCAGATGCTGAGTAGCCTACCACCCATGTCCCAGTCGGCAGCTGCCTCAACACTGCTGTGTTCCAGTACCCATCCGGGAGCAGGAAGAGATTTAACTCTGAAGACAGCACACAACGAGGAGACAGAAGGCAGGAAAACCCCCAGACATCTCAGCTACACCCATTTTTGAGCATCCCTGTGCTCTAGGTCTGGCTCCTTCCCATACCTTCTGCCTAGTCAGACCATTGGTCTATGCTGCCCATTGGAACTCTAGGAAGAAGAGGTCTTTTTCCCAGGTGCCTTAACTGCTGGAGAATTATCCTGGAACCTCCTGAATGGAAAACAGGTGCCCTACGCCCACCAAGCTATGGCCTGTGCCGTGTTACCCCGATGACTGGCCACTAGCACACAATCAGAAGCACCGCTATTCTTGGCCGAGTAGCATGATGCTCCATGCAGCTTTCTGTGGTTCGGATTCCACCGTGCACATTCGACTGGAAAAGGGGCCTTGGTCTGCCACCAGGATGGGCAGAGGCGGGAGGGGGGGAGGGACGACTGACGCTATTGTCATAAGGTTCGACCCAATGGTTCTCTTTTGCTAATGGCAGCATTTCCGCCTGGCCCTGGTGCTGGCAGAATGCTCCTTGTGCTGGGGGTGGGTGGGTGTAAAATACTACCATTAGCAGAATGGACCTCTGAGGTCCAGCCAGGTCAAACAAAGGGCTTTTATGCACTCTCCGTTTTCTCACTTGTAAGTTCCTGTTCCTTTGGGGAGGGGTCTGTTCCACACATATTTTGTTCCCTCTTGTGGGAACTGCTGCTTGCTTGTCAGACCCCCTTGCCTGGGGGTTGCTGCGTTGGGCTGAAATAAGCCCAAACTGTCAGAAGAAGCCGTCGCCCACCCCGCACGCTTGCAGGATGCGTTAATTGCCATTTCGCCCGACCGGAAGCCGTCAATTCGATATTATATAGTTTTATGTCCAGCGTATCTCCCCACAGATTTAAACTGCAGGTTTTTATGCCAGTCATAAACCAACGCAATATTGAAACAACCACTAGAGGGAGCAAAACGGGAAGGGGACAAAGAACAGGAACTTACAAGCAAGGAAACTAAAAATGTGGGAAAAAACCCAAACATCTGAAACCTGAAGAAACTACAGTGCAGGCACAATCACTCTTACATCTCCTCTTTCCCAGCTGAAAGATGAGAAGAAACAGAGGGACAAGTAGAATTACTTTTGGCACAAAGAAGGAGGGCAGCCTCTGACTTCCGCCTCTCCGAAACATACACTGAATAATGCACTTTCAAGCCACATTAAATGCACTTCAGCAATTGTCTGCAAGTGGATTTTGCCATTTCACACAGTAAAATCCAGTTGCAAAGTGCACTGAAAGTTGATCAAAAATGCATTATCCAGACCCTGACCTGGATAGCCCAGGCCAGCCCGATCTCGTCAGATCTTGGAAGCTAAGCAGGGTCCACTTTGGCAAGTACTTGGATGGGAGACCTCCAAGGAATACCAGGGCTGGGACGCAGAGGCAGGTAATATCAAGCCACCTCTCTGAATATCCTCCAGGCCCCCAGTAGGGGTCAGTCACCAGAGGCCGCCATGACTTCCAGGTGCACACACGCATACACACACACACACACATATGCACATAAAATACAAAAATACCAAAGAAAGAAAAAAGAAAGTGCATCATTTAGCAAAGTGTGAAAGCGTCCAAAAGACTCACCTGCAACATGGACTTGGGGTGAGGCAGATCTTCCCCCTGGTAGATCTTGATGTAAGCCTGGAAGGGAGTGAATTCAAGTGGGTCAGCAAATGAAAGAAAAGAAGAGGGCTGAGAATCCAAGCAACTCCCACCCTTCATGTTCAAGGGTCTTGTTAAGGAGAAATACCCCTCTGCACCCCCCAGGACCAGAGTAGGTTAGTGGCTAGAGAGTCAAAACTAGGATCTGGAAGACCTAAGTTCAAATCTCCACTATGCCATGGAAGTTTGCTGGGTGAGTCACTCTTTCTTAGCCTAGCCTACCTCACAGGAACATTGTGATGAATCTAACCCCTTCACATCATCGAGCCCCGTAGCACCTTAGAGACCAACAAGAGTTCCAGGGTCTACGCTTTCGAGAATGGAAGTTCTCTTCGTCAGACTCGGACATCTCCATTTCTACTGTACTCATGTCTGATGCAGGGAACTTTGACTCTCGAAAAGTCTCTTAAGGTCTACTGGATTCAAATCTAGACCAACGAGGTTACCCGCTGAAACTATCTTCATGGAGGAAGATGTACACCACCCTGAGGTCCTCAGAGGAAGGGTGGGATTCAAACTCTTTTGTTAGATTAGGTTTAAAACAATAAGCCAGCGCCACAGCATGATTTACCTTGAAGTATTCCAGCAAGCCCCGGCAGGTGACTTTGGAACCATTGATCTCCTTTTCCAAAAGCTGGCTGGGATCCAGCACAAACGGGATCAAATCCTGCAGCTGATCTTTGAATTCATCTGCAATGTCTACAGGAAAGGGAGAGCAAAGAGGCCGAGGGTTAGGAAGGAGAGAAAGAAGCCGCTCTTCCCAAGAGATGGCGTGCTTCACGATCGGAGCAGAAGTGTAAGAAGAGTAACAATAAGAGTTGTGCAACAGTGGAATCAGTTGCCTTTGGAGGCGGTGAGCTCCCCCTCCCTGGCAGTCTTGAAGCAGCGGCTGGACGAACACTTGCCAGGGATGCGTCTAGGCTGAGCCTGCATTGAGCAGGGGGTGGGACTAGATAGCCTGTATGGCCCCTCCCAACTCTGTGACTCTATGATTCTATGAATCTTAAGTGATTTGCCTTAAACAATGGGGGAGGGAAAGAAATTAACTCACAGAATGTGATATTAAGTACAAAACTAAACTAAAAAACCCATTTTCAAGTAGATCTGATACTACTCATTTTCACGTTTCTAGTCCTTAAGACTGCAGAGTATATTTGAAAGTGTGCGGTTATGCTGGGTGAAATCACAAAGTAAGAGGGGGTAGCATAATAAAACTTTCAGAAGGCTCAGCGTGCGGCATAATTCCTCATCCTTCACTGCCAGCAAAAAATAACATAAATTATGTAAAATACTAAGTTTGGGCTGCATCAGGAGAAAGTTCCTTGCGCCAGGGGAAAGCGCTACCATCAGAACAGATCCTTTCAAGCCCCGGTTTTGTGCAAACTTGGGTTAGGCACCATCTCTGTACTGACAAGCCACGGAGACAGCAGTCATTCCACCTGCCTACAGATGGGAACGCTGAGAAGAGGCAAAGAGAAAGCAGGAAAGCAGTTCTTGTGTGCCACCTTTTGCCTGCTGGGCATCTGAAGTCTCCAACCACAGCTTGACTTCTCACTGACAGTTTGCGTAAAACCCCAGTTTGTGGTGCTGCCTAGAGAGAGCCTTGCGTCTCTGTACCCCAGGATTGCCTATGTCAGTCCTCGGGGTGAGGGCAGTTTGAGAACACAGACCAAGCCCTTACCTTTCAGACGGCCGTCAAAGTTTGGGCTGGTGGCCACCTTGAGGCCAGGGTGGGGCAAGAGGAAGCAGTTGACGTTGGTGAAGCAAGAGTGGATGTGCTTCCGAACGTTCTGGATCTCCTCGTGCTGGTGAGATTTCACCTGGGGGTACAGGGAGACCAATCAGTCACTGGTCATGGACTGTAAATATTGATCGAGTGAATGCTTTTGCTATAGCCTGGGGGGGGGGGGAATGACAAGCAACTGCAAAGAGTTCAGAATGAGGTTTTGCAGTAACAATAAGAATGGTCATAAAACCCTGAAGGATGAAAAATAAGTCTGGTTCCTAAAGCCAAAAAACCCTTGCCAAGGCCTATATTACATGCTGTGCAGGAGGGCAGACTGCAACCCTGCACAGCCACAGAATACAGTTTCCTAAGACTCATAAGGTACAAATCAGCACTTTGAACTGAACTCAGAAACAAATGGGCAATCTGACAATTTCTATGGACTAAATGGTTGACCCAGGCTAGAGACCAGCTTGCCATGTTTTGAACAAACTGCAGCATCCAGGTTGGCTTCTAGGGCAACCCCTTACAAAGCCTGTTACAATTAGTCCCAGAACAAAGTTTGAGTCCAGTGGCACCTTTAAGACTTTCGTATGCACCTATACTTCTTCAGACACTTCTTAGTCCCAGAGTTACTGCAGCATAGATCCATGGACAGAAAAGCTTTGGCTGGTAAGTGCTGCCTTAAGAGAGGCATTCCCTCTTCTAACACACAAAGGAATCTGCACTTAGCAGAGATATTCTCCACTCCCTTCATCACATGAAGGAATGCCTCTTCTAAGATAAAGAGGCAGAATGTGTGCGTATACCATCTAAAAACAGAGCACCCTTTTTCCTTTTAGGTATGCCATTTTTAAAATATGCAAGTTATGCAGATTAACTGACCAAGATTTTATTAATTGGGCAACAGCTCTAGAGAAAACCTCAAATTCCAACCAATATGCCATTTCTCACTAAATGCTGCTTGTGAGTTTCGAAACAGTGCCTCAACAGGCCTCCCTAGCTGGGCTTCCCCCTGGCTTTTACCTCCAGCCGCTTTTCCAGAAACCGCCTGCCGCCGTCCAGGCCGTAAGAATACTCGTATGGGAAACTCCAGTCTCGGACCAGGAACATCAGGGTCTGTGTGGAAGACGGAAAGCATTAAGCAACACACAAAGACAATGGCAGGGAAGGACTCAGAGCCCTCCACCCACTAGAAGAGTGTGAAGCAGGAACCCACAGACAGTGTCGAGGAAGGACCATTCCTAGGGGGCCTCAGCCACTGCTGTCTGCTTCTACAGATATGGATACACAGCCACAAAGTAGTTTACAAATACAAGTCTCAAATCCAATGGCATAAAACCTGATCTGGATAGCCCAGGAAAGCCTGATCTCGTCAGATCTCGGAAGCTAAGCAGGGTCGGCTCTGCCAAGTACTTGGATGGGAGACCTCCTTGAAGTACCAAAGGTGGGAGGCGGGGGCAGGCTTTATTCAGCCACCTCTCTGCATATCGTCCAGGCCCCCAGTAGGGGTCAGTCACCAGAGGTCACCATGACGTCCAGGTGCGCGAGCACACACACACACACACATATTAAAAAATACAAACAAACCAGGGGTCCCCAACGTTGTGCCCATGGGCACCACGACACCCGCCAACAGTCTTCCTGGAGCCCGCAAAGTGTTTTTAGAAAGTGGGTAGGGCTCTTGCCCAGCAAGGCTTCCGACTGGACTCTTAAGATCTGATCGGCTGTGCAGATTTTTAAAGAGGCTGCTTTGGCGGCAGCTGCCACCACAGCACAATCATCTTCCCCTGTGAGACTGCAGGTAAGCTGCGGCAGCCATTTTGTACTGTGCCCACCTCCTGCAGCAGCCATTTCGTAGCTGTGCCCACTGCTTTGTGTCAGAGTTCCAAAGGTACCCGAGTCTCAAAAAAGGTTGGGGACCCCAGTATAAAACTACCAGTGATATTTTTAAATCAGCCAGCAGGAAGGAAAAAGGAGCCATTCAGTCTCACCCATCAGTATGGGCCCTCTGAAATAAAGGGGCACCCAACCAATGCTTCCAAGCCGACACAGGCCAGGTGAGCGGGACCTCCCCTTGGGAGGGAGTTCTGCAAACTCGGGGCCACTTGTGAAAAGAGAGACGAGGAGGGTGACCAAGCATATTCTGGGTCACATCAATTCATTTCCACCCTTGCAAACAAACAAAAAAAGACAGAAAGAGGGAAGTTCAAATTCAGAACTCAGGTCATTTCTACACAACTGGCATCAACCCAGATCAACGCTTCTGTCCAGTTTGGTGTGAACATATTAATGAGTACGTCAGCTGCAAAGATCTGGGTCCGAGTGCGGGATGTGACAAGCGGTGTCATAGGGCAAGGCCCAGGCACGTGCCTTTCCCACTTGGACGCATACCTGGAATGGTTTGAGGAAGATCTCATCCATGGCCAGTCGGCCATACTCCGTAAAGAGCTAGAAAGGGAAACAAAAGACATTTTGCAAGCCTGTTTTGTAATTAAGGCGGGACAATGTCAGCCATGTACATTTCAAGCCGCTCCTTCGTGACGGCCAGAAAGGGTAAAATGGACAGAGGCGGGGAGAACATCTTGCAGCATTTGAACATACGCAGGGGTTTTATTCAAACAACTGGCCCATCTATCCACAGCAACCCAGTTCAACTTGCAACAGAACTTTGGGGTACTATTTTCCACCACCTGGTAACTGAGGGCACCAGGGAATGAACCTGGGACATATGAAGAAGAGATTGGATTTATACCCCACCCTTCACTACCCAAAGGAGTCTCAGAGTGGCTTGCAATCTCCTTTCCCTTCCCCTCTCCCGGTGAGGTAGGTGGGGCTGAGAGAGCTCTCCAGAGAACTGCCCTTGAATGAACAGCTCTGACAGAACTATGGCTTGCCCAAGGTCATCCAGCAGCTGCGAGTGGAGGAGTGGGGAATCAAACCCGGTTCTCCTATATTAGAGTCCATGCACTTAACCACGACACCAAACTGGACCCATGAGGCTGCCATAAACTGACTGAATCAGACCTTTGGTCCATCAAAGTCAGTATTGTCTACTCAGTCTGACAGCAGCTCTCCAGGGTCTCAGGGCAGAGGCCTTTCACATCTACTACTACCTGATCCTTAACTGGAGAGGCTGGGGATCGAACCCAGGATCTTCTGAATGCCAAGCAGCTGCTCTACCACTGAACCACAGCTCCTCCCCCGACCTTCTGCATTCAAACTATGCCCTTTACTACTGAGCCACGGCCACACCCAGCAACCTATGAGACTCACTGAGATGAAGTCCAAACACCTAATAAAGTCTGATTTGTTTTGACTTCGATGAAGTGAGACCACTGACTTGTCCAAGTTAGTGCTGTCCGGTCTACCTAGCAGGCACTCTCCAAAGTTTGGGGTGTGGAAAGATCTAGAAAGAACTTCCCAGCACCTGTTATCCGAGACCCTTTAACTGGAAATGCCAAGGATTAAACCTGGGACCTTTTGCCCGTAAAGCGAGTGCTCTGCTGTTGAGCTCAAACCCATTTTTGGGTGCTGAAACCCTGCCTGCTTGCCCACTGGAAGCCTTATTCAGAAATTCACTGGGCTTTTGAGATTTCTCTCAGGCATAAAGACTAGAAGTGGGATGGTTTTTAAAGCTGAGATTCTCTGCTGTACCACATTCTTTGCTGTTTTGTTCTCTGGCAGAATCACAGAATATACACAGCCTCATAAGCGCTGGAACAGTGCCCATTTCTGTAGAGCACCTCACACGCCACTCGGCAAACGTTTCATCCGTAAACCTTACGGCCTACCTGCAGCTGCTGTAGATCATCTTCCTGGATGTTCTGGGACAAGTTATAGATCTAAAAACAGGGAGGGAAGTGACAAAACACACCGATCAGCCATGGTGGCGCATGCCGGAGGGATAGCCGTGTGACTACTTTGCAGCAAAAACATCCACCGCAAGACCTGTGGCACCTCCAAAATGTAACAGATTTATCGTGGCACTGACAAAAGTGAGCCTTGGGCCATGAAAGGAGATGCCACAATCTGTCTTTCAGGATCCACAAGACATTTGGCTGCAAGAGAACTCAGCCATGCTGCAAAGAGACAGAGTTCTTTCCTGCTTGTACCCGACGAAGGGAACTTTGGCTCTCGAAAGCTAATACCACAAAATTCGTTTGTCTCTAAGGTGCTACTAGACTTGAATATAGCTGTTCTATTGCAGACCAACCCAGCTACCCCCTGAAACAGTTGTTCCTTTAAAACACATATAGCAATACTATGCTCAGAACTGGCATAATTCAGTACTCATTCAAAGAATCAAGACATAAAATTCCAGACTCCATTAGATACCCCCCAAGTTTTTGATGAGGACCACTACGTTCTATCATCCATTGCCTGTACGACAGTGTAAGGAATAGCTGCCATTAAGCCTTTATGTTGTCTGGATTACTTTCCTTAGGCTGTAAGTTCTGGCAGTCCCCTGGCCCAGCCTGCTAAAAGCAAGGTGCTTGTTTCAACTACATTCACCTGTGGCTGTTGACCTTTAACAGAACTGTCCTTGGGAGTCTCCCTAAGTTGTTTCAACCTACCAGTGCCCATTAGCTAAGTGTGTCCTGATTGGCTAATGGTTTCATGGGCCAAGACAAGGATGTCTGAAAACATGCATTGCTTGGAGAGTGGGAGGCTGGCTATTCTATCAATACGTGAGAAGAAGCTATGTCTTCTATCCCTCCACGACGTGGACTGTCTGGCACGGGACAGACTTCCTCTATCAAGCCTGCAAGCAAGAACCTGCATCTGATAAGCTAGCCAGCAAGCTTTTAATGTATAGTAAGATAGCTTTTAGCCAGATGTAGTTCAGCATTATTCTTTCTTGGATTTGCCATTGCTTGTGCCTTAAGAGTGGCTCCTGCCCAGCATACACTCTTTGTAATTTGAGCAGTTTACTAAAACTGGAATATTTTTCTACCTTCTAGTGTCTGGAGTTACTTACTGGGTGCATGCAGATAGCCTCAGAGGAGAACCTGGGAAACTGAAAGTCTCTGGTGAAAGGTCCAGAACCCTTGAGGCTCCTGGTTGGCCCAGGAGGCTTCGGTTTCAGCACCTGGGAGCAGGAGTAGGGCTCTCTAGGACCAAACAGACAGTTCCCCGCTTCTTTTTGTTTCCTTAACTGAGCAGTTCCTTTTTCTTCTTTATTTCTCTGTCTCCCCCTCCCCCCCAAATATTTAAACATATATATTCTGACCCAAGATACTGAGGAACCGGAAAACCCCTCTTTGGTACAGGTAAGAATAAGCACATGAGAGGCTAATATGAATGCACGTAAACACATAAACTGTTTTCTTTCACTCTTACAGGGGGTCAAGTCAGACTGTCAGGGAGATTTCAGTTTTAAACCTGGCAGGTGAAAAGGCAACAGGAATGAGAGAGACTTCATATAGCTGTATATTGTATACTGTCTCCCTGACAGTCGGACAGTAGGTCACAAAAAAAGTAGCTGTTTTGTTCTACAGACAGGTGTTTATAAGTATTGATAGAGATCACTTGGCTAACACGCCTTAGATTAAACAGGCACACGCTTATCAGTCACAAAATTACTAAAGTCTGTGGAGGCAGGAATGTATTCACAGGTTCCAATTTTTTTAACACTTGATAGGGATCACGCCCCCCCCTTTCCTCTGAGCTATTTCCTTGCTTCAGGATCTTCCTAAATCTTTCACTCTTCTCCCTCTCTCTACTCCTCCCTCCTTCCTTCCTTGCCACTCTCAACTGCCACTACCTCAAGGTAATAAGATAATTCAGTTTGAACCCCGTCAGTCAAGGTTCTCAGACTGCTTTAACACATCAGCATCTGTCTGTCACAGCCTGCTTATTTTGCAGCTGCTTTCATTATTATCCTGTCTGTGTGATCTAATTTACTTTAATTTATGTTGATTTTATCTGGTATTGTGTACCTTGAACAGTGAGATGCCTAGAAGGCAAGGGATAAATGGTTTTCAAAAAGTATTCCCTGGTTCAATCTGGTCTGACACACTTCCTGCACCCCAATGCCTCCTTTGCCTACACCACACATGGCCTTCTGGGTAACGGTCCCATTTTAGTTGTCACAACACTGCAGTTGCCTCTCCCTTGAACTGATGAGGCGGACAAATCAGCTCTGACTTGACCCCCAAGTGGATCACAGGCCTTGGATGAAAGAACTGGTTTGTTTACAAAAGAAGGCTAGGGAGGCTCACCTGAACAGAACTGGTCATCGTGCTGAGGGCAAAGATGGTGGCACAGTCCTTGACGGTCGACTGGCTGTCGAATGCTCCTTGGGTGTCCATCAGCACAACTGCCACCTGACAGCAGAGGGTCAAAGGGTAAGAAGAGACCAAAAAGAGCCCCCTCCCCCGATATGTCCCTCAGTATCACAAGTGGCAATAGCCATCTTTGCCAACAGAGAAGCCAGAATTTCAATTAAGACTGCTGCCTTATACTGAATAAGACTTTCCATCCATCAAGGTCAGTATTGTCTACTCAGTCTGGCAGCGACTCTCCAGGGTCTCAGGCTGAGGCCCTTCACGTCACCTACTGCCTGGTCCTTTTTGTTGGAGATGCTGGGGATTGAACCTGAGGCCTTCTGCATGCCAAGCAGATGATCTACCACTGAGCCACAGCCTGTGTCCAAGAGAGCAGGATGGAGGGGTTGGTTGGTTGTTGCCTCAGAGGAAACGGCCCCCAATTAACTGTGTCTTTTTATTCTGCATAAGCCACCTTCTGGATCAAAAGGATGGGAAGAAATCAAATAAATATGGCCTGCGAATGGCAGGAGGAGGGGGGAAAGCCTGTGGGCTTTCTCTAGAGTAACTAAAAACATCACTAGATGAAAGGGTATTTCAAGAGTCGCTAATTCTCACGACCACCACCACACTGCTTTTACCTTCTTCCCACTTGGTTTTTCCACAATGAACACCTCACTCCAGATCTGGATGCCAGTGGTTTCGGGGTCGGAGCCGCCACGCCAGGAGAAACCTGTCAGGGGCTCATCCTTTTCTCCCAGCCAATGGGAACTGCCTCCTTCTTTCTACAGAAAAACAGGGAATTCTGTCTCTTAACCGCGGAGAGGGTTTGACCCAAGGATACAGGCAAATTCAATCAAACCTTTCAGCTCTTAACAGATGAACGAACATACTTTCAAAGAACATCAAAACGCTGAGAAGTTATATGTAAATAAATATTATGAGAATCAGCCACCTCGTATACAGAAATCCAAATATTAATTTAATCCAATGAGAATAACACTTAGCACAAGGCTCCACAGATCCCAGCCACCAGGTTGCCATGGCACCTAGAAATGTCGTCATGACACCCACCCCATGGCTCTTGGACTGACGCTAGCCAGCCATCTTTGCTTCTTTCAGCTTGAATCTCAAGGAACTCTGTTAGCTTTCAAAAGCTCTGTAGCAGTAAGGTTAGACTCCTATTGTTCTACAAAAATGAGTCGATTTGATAAGCAAATCAGATTTCTCTGGATGGAACTCTCAGAAGAGATTTGGTGAGATTTCTGTGTGTGTCTGTGTGTGTAAATTGGGTTTATAGAAGAATTCAAAAAAGCAGCTTAAGACAATAACCTAAAAGCTAGTTGTGTGTGTGTGTGTGTGTGTGTGTGTGTGTGTGTGTGTGTGTGTGTGTCAAGTCACTTTTGATTTATGGTGGCTGTTAAGTCGGCTACTTAACAAAGGAGTCAGAGAGTGATTCAGCAAAAGATCAGCTTTATTCAGCAACTCGTAACTCAACTCCAAACAGATCAACATGAACAGCCAGAACAGCTTTAGCATCGAAGCTGTTCTTCTTTTAACCCCCCCCCGCCAATATAGCCACGCCCTATTATACAATAACAACCAATCAGGTTGTAACAATAAAGTCCAATCACAAGCGTTCCCTCTCATGGAACTGGATGGTAGGTGATTGGATGGTTCTTCCTGGGCTACTCAATGGGATTGGAGGGATTAGGATCCTTGCCCAGGACGAAGCTTTACATGGTGTATGAATGTGTGAGTTTACATACATGCAGTTGAATACACTATAGTGGCCTTATGAATAAATGACCTCCAAAACATCCTATCGTTAACAGCCTTGCTCAGGTCTTGCAAACTGATTGCGTCCTCGATTGAGTCAATCCATCTCATGTTGGATCTTCCACTTTTCCTGCTGCCTTCAACTTTTCCTAGCATTGTTGTCTTTTCCAGTGACTTTTGTCTTTTCATAATGTGACCAACGAATGCTTCAGTTTGGTCATTTTAGCTCCTAGAGAGAGTTCAGGTTTGATTTCATCTAGAACTCACTTATTTGGCAGTCCACAGTATCCGTAAAACTCTCCTCTAACACCACATTTCAAAGGAATCAACTTTTTTCCTCGTCCAACTTTCACAGCCATATGTAGTAATGGGGAATACTATGGCATGAATTAACTCGATCTTGGTCACCAGGGACACATCTTTACACTTAAGAATCTTTTCTAGCTCCTTCATGTCTGCCTTTTCGGCTACGCTCCTGCAGAGTGCAGGGGGCTGGACTAGATGACCTGCAAGGTACCTTCCAACTCTAACATTCTATGATTCTATGATTCCCAGCATCAATCTCCTTCAAATTTCTTACTTGCAGTCTCTATTTGAATTTACATACTCTAATACGGTTGAAGAAACAGTAAGAGCTTTGATGATTTTAGCCCTTGTTTTTGCAGTAGCTACAGGGTTAATTTTCACATGCTTATCTTTTCTAATGTCTTGTCTAATAAAGACAACTGTTTCTTTTTTCAGTAAAAGATAAAACTCTTTGGAGGTTTTCTGTCTGGTTTGCTGGTATTCAAAGAACCAAACTCACAATTCATTCATTTGTAATATCAGGCAGATCCTGGTGATATCTGGAGCTACTTGTTTTAAAAGATTAATTCTTAGAAAGCTAATGAGTCCAGTTTCTCTGTTCGGATGCAGGAATAAAACATCTCACTACCAATGTTCCCTCTAAGCTGTGGAGTTTTGTGAGCAAAAACTCTACTCTGTGAGCTACTGGCATCAAAGCTGTGAGCGAGCGATTTGGCTACTGCATAAATTAATAATAATAATATAATAATAATAATATACTTTATTGTCATTGTACATAGTACAACGAAATTAAGATGCAATCATTCGGTGATCTACAACCATACTCATATACACTCACACAACCATTCATAACCATCCCATAACTCCCTTAAGGAGTTTGCTCTGTTTGCTCTGGAGCCCTCCTTCCTGAGCGAAGGCAAAAATTTGTGAGCCGGAGGCTAAAAAACTGTGAGCTAGCTCACACTAACTCAGCTTAGAGGGAACACTGCTCACTACAGTTCCTGATTGTTAGGGGTGGGGCAGAGCTTCCTGAAGCTAGCCAAGTCCCTCTGCCCAACTAGGGTCGAGGTGGAACCAAAAGCAATCAGGGACAGAGGAGAAGCAGTCAAACCAGGAAACATTTTTTAAAAAACTCAAATCCTTCATCACTTAGCTTAGCTGTGGTGGCGGGGGCTCCATGTTGCCTCTGCAGAGCCTAGGGCCATACTAAGAGTCTAGTTCACAAGTAGTGGTTAAGAGTGTCAGACTATCATCTGGGAGACCAGGGTTTGAATCCCCACTGGTGCCATGGAAGGTCGTCGGTGGACCTTGGACCAGTCACACTCTCTCAGCCTAACCTATTTCACACTGTTGTTGTGAGGGTAAAATGGAGGACAGGCGAACGCTGTAAGCTGATTTGATTCCCCGCTCTGAGGAGAACGGTAGAGTACAAATGAAATACACAAACAGTTCAGTATTTTCCTTCTCCACCATTCCCACCTGAAGTGCCATTCCCAGGTTAGGGATGAGGCTGATTCTGATTCAAAACAGGGTTATTTTGTTGTCTAATACAAACCTCTTCTGTCCTTCATGGGTCAGCCTTTTGTTGGTTGCAAATGACATTTGTTCACGAGAGCAGTAGGCCGGTCATGTTTACAGCAGTGGTGTAATGAAGTGCACCGAATATTTCATTTTTGCTCTCTGTGGCATTTTCCTTCACCGGCTCAACATGCCCTTATTCAAGTGAGTGCCAAAAGTTAAACAAAACTGCAACTTTTGGCAGTTGCTTTTTTAAGGATGGCATTCAGTGTGACCCGGGGCTGCGAATGAGGCAGTTGTTCATCTTGGGATGAAATCAGACTTTGTATCTGAAGAGAAGTCCGGTCTGGTCCAGAACCTTTATTAGGCATTTGGCACAGACACTAAACAATCTAAAATTCCACAGAGCCAGTTAACACAAATATACACTTCAGAAAGCAAACTAATAAATGATCATAAACAAAGTTTACGAAGTTGTTCAGGGTGGTGAAAACCAGTGAGGATTGTGAGGCACTCCAAAGGGATCTGTCAAAGATGGGCAAGTGGGCATCAACATGGCAAATGGGGTTCAATGTGGCCAAGTGCAAGGTGATGCACATTGGAGCCAAAAATCCTAAATATAAATACACGTTGATGGGGTCTGAACTGGCAGAGACTGATCAAGAGAGAGATCTTGGAGTTGTAGTAGATAACTCACTGAAAATGTCGAGACAGTATGTGACTGCAATAAAGAAGGCCAATGCTATGCTGGGGATTATTAGGAAAGGTATTGAAAACAGATCAGCCAATATCATAATGCCCCTATATAAATCAATGGTGCGACCTCATTTGGAATACTGTGTGCAATTCTGGTCAACGCACCTTAAAAAGAATATTATAGCCTTGGAAAAAGTGCAGAAAAGGGCAACTCGAATGATAAAAGGGTTGGAACACTTTCCCTATGAGGAAAGGTTAAGGCGCTTAGGGCTCTTTAGCTTGGAGAAACGACGACTGAGGGGTGACATGATTGAGGTTTATAAGATTATGCATGGGAAAGAGCAGGTAGAGAAAGAGGTACTTTTCTCCCTTTCTCACAATACAAGAACTCGTGGGCACTCCATGAAATTGCTGAGCGGTCGGGTTAGAACGGATAAAAGGAAGTACTTCTTCACCCAAAGAGTGATTAACACTTGGAATTCACTGCCACAGGAAGTGGGGGCGGCTACAAGCATGGACGGCTTCAAAGGGGAATTAGATAAGCATATGGAGCAGAGGTCCATCAGTGGCTAATAGCCACAAGGTATAGATAGGGACTCTGGGGCAAGTGATGCTCTGTCATCTTGGTGCTGGGGGGGGGGTCAACAGTGGGAGGGCTTCTAATGTCCTGGCCCCACTGGTGGACCTCCTGATGGCATCTGGTATTTTTGGCCACTGTGTGACAGAGTGTTGGACTAGATGGGCCTTTGGCCTGATCCAACATTGGCATCTCTTATGTTCTTATGTTCTTAAATAGAATGAAGATCATTCACAACCAACCCACGGATCCTCATAACGGCTAGAAGATAACCTAGCAACTTGATGGGCGATATAAGGATTCCAGTCAGATAAAAGGTCGAAGACCAGCCTCTCATCTGGGTAGCTCTGATATTTATGTAGGAGGGCCCTAATTATGGGATTCCTCAGCTCAGTATAAAAGCTGCAAGACATGAGGTGAAAATTCAGGAACCCTGGCCCTTTCACAGACAATATCTCTCCTGATGAGTTCTCAAAAATCTGTCACAAAGGATTGCCGAAGGCAGACTGTTGAACCTGGCGAGCATAAAAGCTCTGCAGCCTTGAGGAGACTTAAGACAGAATCTGAAGAGAAGTCATGGTGGTTCCTTCACTTTGTGTTGAGTGCTGAGGGGGACTCAAATCAGGGCCTCTGGCATTGCACCTAAATACCACATGAAACTGCCTTCTACTGAATCAGACCCTTGGTGCCTCAGGGTCAGTAGTGTCTACACAGACTGGCAGTGGCTCTCCAGGGTCTCAGGCAGAGGTCTTTCACATCACCTACAACCCGATCTTTTTAACTGGGGATATTGGAGATTGAACCAGGGACCTTCTGCATGCCAAGCAGATGCTTGCCACTGAGCCACAGCCCTTCACTCCTCACACCACTGAGGACGTTTGCAAGCCCGCCAAACTGTTGACTGAGGCA